TCGGAAGACGGGCCGGCGGCGGGTTTCCAGCAGCGCAGGGCGGGCGCGTGGCCCTGCACACGCACACGCACACGCACACGCACACACAGCCGGGGCGGGTCTGGAAGACAACACGAGTGCATCGGACGCTGAAAGTGATTGAATTTGCTGAAAAGCCACCGTGCGCTGAAAAACGATGCAAACAAGAAGCTTTTTTATTTGCTTTATATCGCTCACTGCCAGTTGCCAACGAGCGAGTGCGAACCGGGCCGAGTGGAACTGTGGCTTTGCTTGGAGACGAGCGGGTGTAAGAAAGCGCTGGCAGCTGCCCCAGGAGGGGGATGTGCTGCATCAACGACCTGCCCCAATTAGGTGTCAATTAGCTGCCTCCAAAACGCCTGTCCATCTGCAAGGGTGTCTTTGGCAGAGACACAAAGAAATGTGGAAATCTACAACTTTGGGTTTGGAGACGATCCTTTAGCAGACCCGCGGAGACGCTGCAAAATAACCACACGCAAAAAGAAAGAAGAGGTCTTTTCCTGCCGAAAAAGATCTCAGGCTCGCGGGCAGAGGGGATCTCTTTTTAGACCAACAAGATTTTGGGGGGAGAAAATGTCTTTCATTGGAAGCTTTCGGGCACAACCCCTCATCGGGCGTCGGAGAAACGATCGTACAGTACGGCCCCGACCTGGAGACCCGCAGAAACAGATCCTTTTCTGTCCTTGTTGCCACGTCCCATCGCTCTCATAAAAGTGTCATTTCAGAACCACGCGCTCTGGATTCCTGCTTTTCTGGACACCTGCAAAACCCCCCCCGCCTGCGCGCTGCTTGAATTCTCGTGTAAATACGGTAATTAATTACCGCAGCCCCTTTCCCGCCTCCCCCTTGTGCAGTGGTACATCCCACCCCCCTCTCGTGCAGTGGTTTGCCACGTCCCATCGCTCTCATAAAAGTGTCATTTCAGAACCACGCGCTCTGGATTCCTGCTTTTCTGGACACCTGCAAAACCCCCCCCGCCTGCGCGCTGCTTGAATTCTCGTGTAAATACGGTAATTAATTACCGCAGCCCCTTTCCCGCCTCCCCCTTGTGCAGTGGTACATCCCACCCCCCTCTCGTGCAGTGGTTTGGCCCGGCCGGCGCGGGGCGGGGGCGCTGTGTGGTACATCCCACCCCCCCC